AAGTCCTTGGCCGAGTCCCCGTAGACGACGGGGTCGAGGTGCGCCTTGCCGAGGAGGCAGAGGATGGGCTCGCCCTTTTTAACTGGGTATTTCCCGCCTAGGAGCGTGTCCTCCTTTGCCTCGACGCCGAAGGCGGGAATCGTGGCGCAGAGGCGCAGAGTCTCGCGGAGGACCTGGTAATCGTCAGTATAGCCGCGACTTTACACGAAAGGAGGACATGCTGAGAGAAACTCACCGCGTTCAAGTAAGGCAGCTTGGTCAAGTGGTCGATCGTAATCGGACCCTGCCCGATGACGCTGTCGACCTCCTGCTGCGCCTTCTGGTACGCCGCGGGCTTCTTCAGCAGCTCGTAGAACGCAAACGACAACAAGCCCGACGTCGTCTCGTGCCCTGCGATTAGGAACGTGATGAGGTTGTCAATAATGCTCGCGTCCGTCATCTTCTGGCCCGTCTTGGGGTCGACGCCGTTCAGCATGGCGGCGAGCAGGTCCTTGCGGTCCGAGGGGCTCGCCTTGCGCGCCTGCAGGACCTCGTCGGCGGTCTTGCGCATGAGGTCGATGTCCGCAAAGAACTTGTGCTCGGTGCCGCGGAAGAAGTAGTTGGCGATGGCGGGGCGGCGGTCGCGGTTGCCGCACTCGGTGAGGGCGTCGCCCATGGCCGTGATGAAGGGGTGCAGCTCCTCGCGGTAGTACGAGTTGAAGCGGAAGTCCATGGCGCAGAGGGCGATGGTGTCGAGGGTCAGGCGGGTGAAGTCCTCGGTGGCCATGATGGGCGTGGAGGAGCCGTGGCGGGCCCATTTCATGGCCATCTGCGTCGCGATGTCGTGCATCTCGTCGAACATGCCGCGGATCGTGACGGGGCCGAAGGCGGGGATGAGGATGCGGTGGGCGATGCCCCAGTTTGGTTCGTCGAGTTTTGCCTTGGGATGCGTGTTAGTTGATGTCTGTCGTGTGGTTTGGTGATGAGAGGGGAGGGGGGTGCTCACGGTGAAAAGGCCATCGCCGGCGATCGATCTTACTTCCTGTGTACAAATTGTCAGGGGTTTGCCGTATGGATGAAGAAGTGGTGACGGATGGAGGAAGATTTACCTTGAGGACGTTGTTGAGCGTCTTTTGGAAGCGTGTCTCGTCGCATACTTCGTTGACCAGAGCGTTGGTGGAACAGATAACCAGCGTCTTGCCTCCTGGGAAGCGTAACCTGTAGATTTCACCTGAGACAGTGAGCAATTGGCCCGTCACTGGCCATGGATATCGTTTCCCTACCGAATGTGTCTGCCAGACGGTGGATGTCCTCGAGGGGGTTCTCCGGGTTGAACTCTGCAATATGCCCGAGGAACGGAAGACCCCAGGGTTCGGGGATGGGCACTTCCTCCGGCATCACCGCAGACGGCATGATGAAAAGATTCCACTGACAAAACACGCAATGGTGAGGATATTTGGGCCGCTGGCTTCGTGTTGTTGGTGAACTGCAATCAACTAATGTGTCTCACGGATTGTCGGACAGGACCAACGTCGCGCAAGGATAATGTGATGTGATGCGGTGGACGCAGAGAACGAGATGCTCGCACAAAAGACCCAGGGAATTCCTCCGCTCGGACTTGCAAAGAAACGTCGAGACCAACGAGCTCTGGCCGAATGGGCTTTTATCAATTAGCGTCGTGGTCCCTGTCGTTCGCCCAGGCCGATGGGGATGTGGAAGCGGAACAGCAGGGATGGCGGGCCGGAAGGACGCAGATGCATCTGCTCTGATGGGGGCCTAAAGCGGGCCCCCGGTGAGGCAAGCAACGGGCGATTCCCACGGAGCAGCATGCCTCAGAGCAGAAAACTGCGGTGCTTCTTGCATCGTACGTTGGTGGTGTTGGTGTTGGTGCTCACGTACCTGGAAGTTCCAACGGCTACACGGGATTGGTCGAGAGATGTAACAGTTCAAGTCGTCGATCAAGCTCCGAATTGGGGTTGGGGTATGATTTGCAAGACTGATGTTTGAAAACTATGTTGGTCGTGTTGGTTCGGATGATGCGTTTACCTGCGTCTAGAAGATGCGCCAACGTTGGCCGGCGGGCTACCCTTTATATCGAAGCATTTTTTTCATCAAAGCACGTCCAGGCCTCTGCCGCATCTGGGCATCCCTGACTCTTGTCCGCCGCAGTGGGTTTGCATGCAGACTGTGGCTACACGACCCTTTGAGACACAAACCCACGCGCAACGTTCTTTCAAGCCCAGACTCTGGGGCTTGCAAAGTCCGCACGTTGTTGGCGGAGAAGTTCTGGAGCCCAGCCGTCGTGCGTCCAATTCCCCGAGGACGACTTGCTTGGCCTCCGAATATAGTACCTCGTACGTTTCGTGGGATTGTCCAAGATACGCGGGAGAGTCGACGATGACAGGATTCGCAGCCCCGCAGGCTGGCGAATGAGAAGCGGCGGGTTGCACTAGAGGTTTTACGGGCTACCAGGGTGCGTTAGGCCGACGCTCCGCTCCGAGAGAAGGAATCGAAAAGACCGCCTGCTGCAAAACACCGAGCGAGAGGCAGCAGCCGTGGTGAGCAAGCCCTGCAGGTGGGTTCATGCCGTATCTCGGCCGGTTCTCGTAATGTTTGGTTTCCATTGGCGGAGTGTCAGTGTGTGGCTTCTCTGGAATTGTTCTCCGTAGGTTCTCCACGGCTCATGCGGCGGCCCCCCGGGAGAAAGTCACGACGCCGGCTGATGTGAGGCCGTGGCGGAGGATCGAGGAGTACGAAAGCCACGGGCGGCTTAAGTTTATCCCGGCGTTGTTCGCCGTCTGGTTCGTCCCTTTCCCGACAGCAGTAAAAAAAAGGTGTGGGAGGTCAACAACATGCTGCTGACCAAATTGAGTGCTGACGTGAGGAGCATAGATGAAAAGCCCGGCGCACGAGAGTGAGGGTCAGCCCACAACTAATTTGGCGTGGGAAGATGTCAATGATAAAACGGCGATCTGCGTATTCTCCTATGCCGGTGGGAGGGTTTGCTGGCCCCGTTGCTCGGCGTGGGTTCGACAGGAACGCCGGAGAGATTTTCAATCCCGGAACGGAGTGGGGCTGGCTGGTGTTCTCGGGGAATTCGAGACTGGACCACGGCGAAAGGCCGCCGGGCTGCCGCGGGAGGCCGAATGTGACGAAGTAGAAGAAAAAGACGCCAGCCAAGGAATCTTCTCGCTGATTTCATATATGGATCGTCGGGTTCATGAATCGAGACCAAACACTTTCCGCTGTGTCATGGGGCTATCGTCTTGTCAGAGTGAAAGTATTGCCAGCAGGCGGAATCTTCATTGTGGCTTGGTGGATGGGAGCGTCATTTGATACGGCCATATGTGATGATAGGATATTGTCCATGAGATGAATCATTCCAAAGAAGTCCTGCTTTTCAGGCAAGTATCCTAGCCAAGCGGGCAGGTAACACTACTCTGCCTGTTTTATTCCACTTATTGTTCCCATTATCCTCTTCACACCTGCCGTCTCTAACTAAAGAGACGGGAAACGAGTAAACATCGGGTACGATGTCTCTTAAAACAAACAGCCGAATATCCAAACCAAGTTGTAAGGTGCTTCAGCACTGGACACCTTACTGAGTGTAATAGCGCTGCCAGCCCCACCGCGGGGTAGCGCAATGGCGGGGTGAATTACTCGGCCAGCTCAATCGGGCAGCCATCTCCCTCCTCCCACTCAACCTCTCGGCACGCGAGACACAACACATCCGCGACGGCTTCAGAAACACGTCCATCCGCACCCACACGAGCCAATTGCCAGCCATCCTCCTCCATCAACCTCCACCACGCCCTTCCAAGAGGTCACACTACACACCATGGCCGACGTCAAGGCAAAGGCTGAGGCCTTGGTCCCCAAATTCAAGCTCGACCGCGTCCTCAACCAAGGTAAACCGCCCATATCGCCTCCCATCTCTCACCTCGTCGATTGCTAACACACCACCCACAAACAGACCAAGCAGGCCGCCGCACCTCACTCCTCGGCACCATCGACGCCCAACCCGCCCTCCTGATCCTCGAACGCGCCCCCTTCCCCACCGACCCGTCCTACCTCGCCGCGACCCCGACGACCCTCTCCTCCATCGCGAACCTCGGCGCAAACGACGTCTACCACTGGTACCTCGCCAACACCGGCGGCGCCAGCTCCTCTTCCACCAAACCAGACCCTGCCCTCGCCGACCTCAAGATCAACCTCATCTACCCCTGCACCGAGACGCACGTCAAAAAGTACAGCAAGCAGGGCGTCCGCCTCGTCACCGAGACGCCGCACATCTACGCCTCCGCCGTGCGGCCCTTCATGCAGCGCAAGCGCGACGAGGGCCGCCTCAACTGGGTCTTCAACATCATCGAGGGCCGCACCGAGGTCGAGGACGTCATCTACCGCACGGAGCTCGGCGCCTCGCAGAACGACGAGGGGTTTCTGTTATTGCCGGACCTCAACTGGGACCGCAAGACCATCGAGGCGCTGCACCTGCTCGCGCTCGTCGAGCGCCGCGACATCTGGTCCCTGCGCGACCTGCGCCGCAAGCACATCCCCTGGCTGCGGCACATGAAGGCCAAGCTGCTCTCGGCGGCGGTCATGAAGTACCCCGAGGTCGAGCCGGACCAGCTGAAGCTCTACGTGCACTACCAGCCTACGTACTACCACTTCCACATCCACATCGTGCACGTGCAGCTCGAGGCGGGCGCGACGCAGGCTGTGGGAAAGGCTGTCGGGCTCGACAGCATCACGGAGACGCTCGAGGCCATGGGGGGCGACGAGGAGGCGGGCATGGAACAGATTTCTCTTAGCTATACACTAGGGGAGGCAAGCGAACTATGGACAGAGGTGTACGAGCCGCTCAAGCGGAGCGGTGCAGCTTCTCAATAGCGATGACGAGGTCGTTGACGCCCGAGCCGTGGGGGCAGTCCTTCCATTCTCCACCGTCGCGGATGCAGTAGATTTCGTTGTCGAGGCGCACGGTACAGCTCTTGGTAACGCCGGCCTGGATTTTCTCGTTGTCAGTATCCGTCTTGCACGAAAGAGACCGCGGGATGGACAGCCTCTGGGGGAAAACTTACGTCCTTGCTCCTCCGCACGCTGTCGCGCAGCATGCCCAGGCCCAAGGCACCGTCGTCCTGGGTCGCGCAGTCGTTCAACTCCTTGATGTCGATAGCATGCTCCAGAGCGCAGTCCTCCACCAGCGACCGCTCAGGGATGGCCTGGTACTCGCGGGTCAAACACATGGTGAAGCCGAGGTTGATCTTGGGGTCGGGGTAGAGGTGTGCGGCGCAAAGCTCGATGATGTTTCCCATGCCTACAGAGAGATCATTAGAGCATGTTCTTAGAAGAAGCCGGGCATATAGACTAGACGTTACATTCAGACGGGCCGTGCTTGCAGTCGATTCCATCGTTCTCGGTCGGGGTTCCAATGTAGGACAGGGTGAAGTTGACCTTTTGGTACGTCTTCATCATGGTCGGGAGGACCAGGTCCCTCAAGCAATCCTGCGCCGCCGCCGTCAGCACCCTATCTCCAGACTTGCCAATAGCCAGCTGCGACCACTCACCCTCGCATCAGGGCATTTGCTCATGATGTGCGCCTCCAACGGCACAAGCTTAGCGTTCTGCTCGACTACGGGAGCCTGCTGGGGAATGAAGCGCGCGTGGGGGATCGCCGGCTGTCCCACTACGTAGCCCCAGAAGCCGTAGAAGAAGACGAGGACCACGAGGGCGGCAGGCCAGAGGTTCTTCCTCCGGACGAGCCGTCCAGACATGTTTGGCGGTGGTGGTGCGTTGGCGTTGGTGGTGTAGTATGCCTGCTTCTCGTCCATGGCGGATATCGTACTCGGGGGGATATTTGTTATCGAAATCGGATTGGGGGCGGAGCTCGCGTCGGGCTTTATTTTCGGCGTTTCGTGTTGATGAATCGTTCGTGGGATCAAGGCAGTCGAGAGTGTGATGTTTTGGGGAAGATCTAAATGGCTCCTCAGGTACGGGATCTGGTGACGAAATGGAATGCAAGCTTGCTTAGAAACAAAAGGCTACTTGCGTCCAAGTCCCCTCCCCGATCGGAGGCGCAGAGAGTTTGGGTTGTTGTCGCGAGGGGGCCCCGTTGGAATTGCGACAGCCGTGCAGCGAGCACGGCAGCGGCACCTCAGGCCAAACAGCGACGTTGGAGAGCATGTCAGGGTGCATTGCACTACAACGATACCTTGTATTACGTGAGATTCCCGCGTTGGAAGATGTATCTCCTTACTGGACAGGTTGAGGTGCTGCTTCTCCAAGTGGCCAAAGCTCCATTTCAGCAGCAACGACGGGCAACAGCGGGGAACCTGTCCACTAGAGGCTTATCTTATCGGCTGCTAGGTGCCTCTTCGTACTGTTGTTGCATTCGGCGAGGAAGCTGTGGTCCAGTACCTACCTGATGCAACAGTGCGAATCTGTGTTTCTTTAGCAATGTTCACCGTACGGCGGCAGGGATTCGAGGTTTGCAAACTTCCATCCGATGTCCAAGTCGAGAGATGCCTTCTCTTCAAGACCTGAGTCGATGTTGACCATCTGCAATTACTCTGAAAAGAAAAGCTATCGGCCAGCAGCAAGAGTCATGCAATTGCAAACGTCAGCGAATCACCTTACATAAGAAAGACATACACAGTAGCCTCGTCAGCAAGACACAGTACACAGTGGACATTCATCCACTTTCCCTCGCTCCTCACCTCCACGCACGACGGAGAAGAGAGCAGCAGCAGCGCATCACGGCCGAGTGTAACGTGCCCCTACTATTACATGCAAACGGGGGCCAAAAAATCCCCATCGCTACTTATTCTTCATCTAACAACTTGATTGAAACCTCCTTTTCTATTGTTCCTCCGTTTCAGAGACAATTTCCAGTGACAAGAAGCTTCCTTTTCCAAAACACGCAACCGCTAGACCACCTGGCTGGCCCCCAGACGTTGATAATCCACACACTTCCGCACCAGACCACACCAGGAAACACCCACCCGAGGTGTGAGACCCGGGAAGACTAAGGCGAGGAAACAGCAGAAACGCCTCATTGCCTCCTCCCGCATCCCGCCTAACCGCCTGACCTGACCTCAACCTGGACAACACCAACACAAACACTACTCACCAACGTAGCCATACCCCGTTCGATTGACCACATACGCACGCAAACAACGCAAACATGGATCCCGGCTCTGCGCTGCAGGACTTCCTGCAGCCGCTCCGGGTCGACAACCAGACAGTCCACACACTGTCCCGCCTGTTTTACTCCAATTTCAAAGACCTCGCCCTCAACGCCCACGATCAATTCCTCCCGACTCCCATTTCCGAGTCAATTCTGAGACCCGTAACCCAGCGTGGTCATGGAAGGTGTGTCCATGTCTTGTCGTTCTCTCGTGACGTCTCCCATGCCTTCGTCATGTAGCACCATGTCGGGCCGTTGGAACGTATCACACAACCGTTTACCGACGTCTTCCAAAGTTTCACCAAACGCTGACATGGGACGACAGACACCTTGCCATAGACATGTACGTCCTCACTGCCCTGCAGCAGCAGCATCATCACTCATCAAGATTCCTCTTTGGACGCGACCCAAGCTAACCATCACCAGCGGCGGCACAAATTTGAGAGTGGGCTTCATCGAACTCTCTGGCGCAGAAACACCATCAACTACCCGCAACTCCACACAGACGAACGGGACCTCGTCAACTCCAACCCTGAACCTCAAAGAGCAGGCATGGCCCATAGACAACGCCCTCAAAGCCTCGTCAAATTCAGACCCTCAGGGTCTCTTCGACTGGATTGGCTCCTGTATCGCAACAGTGGTCCGCTCCGCCCTCGAGGAATGGCCCTCTCTCGCGGCGGAACCTGAGCTGCCGCTCGGCATCACCTTCAGCTTCCCAATGGTCCAGCACTCCATCTCCGACGCCACCGTCATGACAATGGGCAAAGGCTTTAGCATACAGGGCGATGCAGAGCTCGGCCCCTTACTCCTGCGAGGCTACGACAAAGCCCGTAGTGCGGCTGTTGACTTCCAACTACCACCAATCCGCATCGCCGCAATCTCAAACGACTCGGTCTCAACACTCATCTCATACATCTTCCTTTCCCCGCCAACGACAAAGGCCTCTATGGGCCTCATCGTCGGCACTGGCTGCAACGCCACCATTCCGCTTAAACTCTCCCTCCTCGGCGGCTCCAAACAGCCCGCAAACATTAGCCTTCTTCCCGGCGAATCGGCGAGCGACGTACGCATCGCCGTGAATACGGAATGGTCCATTCGCGGTACCGCGCCCCCTCTGCGTGAACTGAAGCTCATCACCACCTGGGACTCTGCACTGGACGCAGCCCTGGTAGGCCCCAATGAGATCACTGGCTTCCAACCTTTGGAATACATGACGGCAGGCCGGTATCTGGGCGAACTGGGACGTCTGATGCTTTTAGATTACCTCAAGACCGTTTTAGGAGTCAACGAGGACTCCCTCCCATCACGTCTCCTCGTCAGATACGGTCTCACCACCACGTTCCTAAGCCACTTCAAGCCCCTACACTGCCCAGCTCTTCTCCCGAAACTGGAGTCGGAATTCCCAGCTGACTCCTCTTCACCATTCAAATGGACGGAAGAAATGGCAACAGCCCTGTACCACATTGCAAAAGCAATCGAGCTCCGCGCCGCAGGCATCGTTTCTGCGGCAACCGTCGCTCTCCTCAGGCTTGCCGGGGACCTTCCCTCGGACGGCACGCCTTCCAAAGTCCCGGAGCTGGGCGTTGGATACACGGGCGGCTGCATCTCGCAGTTCCAGGACTACCTCGCCGACACGCAGATGTTCCTCGACGAGATAATGAAGCTAGACTACGATGGCAAGTTGCCCACTAGGGTTGTACTGAGTCCCTGTCACGACGGTGGCATCAAAGGCGCAGGTATCCTGGCGGCTGCGACGTGTGTCAGTCAGAAGCATGATATGTAAAGTTCGGGAGAAAACAATTACGGAGAAACGGGCAAGTCCAGGCAGCATCATTATGCGTTCGAATGATTGGTTCCGAGGATACATTATACTGTACAGCATATAGGAGACGGGCCTTAAAGAGAGAGAGAGAGAGAGAGAGAGAGGGAGAGTCACGTTTGCTTCACTAAAAAACTAGCAGACTCGTATTGGCCCAGTTAAGTCTATCAATATCAAAGGCACATACACATATACATCCCAAGACGTCATGATTGCAACGTTGCAGTGAAGAAAAGAGGAGAGGTGAAGGAATTGTATTCAAAATGACAAATCGCCAACTGTTTCGCTTTGGATATTTGAACCCGGGAGAATCTCCGTGCTGAATGAGAAACCACACCAACGTCATCAAACCTCGCCGCCCGCCCAATATGCCGTCCCACTACAACCACCGAGTAAACAAGAATAAATGACTTTGTAAAACTCCTCGTCATTAAGCTCGATTCTTTCCAATCATCGTGAAAGAGATGAAAAAGACAAATGGCAAAAGAAATCGTTTCTCTCACTCTCCGGCATGCCCTGGTAGATTTTCCCGACATTGCACACACTTACACCCACACGCATATACAAATGCCCGCCGCCTTCGCGTGAATAACTCAAGTACAACCACCCCCCCGGCCCCCCAACCACCCTCTTTGCAATGCAACTGAAGCGATGGTGATGAAGCAGACGCTATGCTATGCTATGCACGTGTTTTCGATTTTTGTTTTGGATGTCGTCAGGAAGGGGGGACTCTCGTTCGGTCCCCCCCACAGTTCAGATGGTACTCCCCTCTCCAATGCTTTTGGTCCCAATGCTCCCCCTTCTCTCTTCCCCGTTGAGGCCGTGTCAGTCATGAAAATAAGGAATGCTTGCGCAAGCGGCGGTAAAAAAAAGGAAGAAAGGGGCCTTTAGTAAGCTGTCGGTCCTCGCATTGCCCTTGTAGATCGGAAATTCAGCCGCGGAGGCGGTACGTCGTCAACAATGCCCTCATCAACGTCGGCCTCGATAGGCGATTCGTCAGCCACGAGTGGCGCCGACATGTCCACCTCGACAGCCCTGGTTACCGGCGTCCTGGAACTGGACTCGGCCTCAAGCCTCGCGTCAACCTCGAGCGTCCTGGGAGTTATTGGCGGATTGCTGTCCTTGGCGGGCGTGAGCTCCCGCCGCATGCTCGTAGGTCGAAGAGTCCGCACCTTGTTGGGCTCGCTGGTCACCCTCAGCAAATCAGGCTCCTCCTTCTCTATGCGATCCATCTCTCTGACCGCCAACTCCTTGGTCTCTATCAGACGTCTCTGTATGTTGGCAATCTCCTCCCTGCAATGCGCGTCACGGAGGAACTGATGAGCAGCGTGCTCGGCCGTGCCTTGCACATACTCCAGATGCTTGTCGAGCTCGTCGTAAACGTCTGGCACGTTGCTACCCATCCCGCCGGCCTGGCCGGCTCGTGTATATGATGGTCCGGGTCCGCCTCGTCTGCCAGCGCCCATTCGTCGTGCGCTCATGTACCGCAGAGATGGCAAGGCCTCATCAACTGGGGCGGCAGCCAAGGACGCGTTCGCATCAGCCTTCATGGATCCATCTCCAGCATCGTCATCTTCGTCTCCGTGCTCAAGCTCCGCCATGCGTCGGATGCTTGCAACCTTGGCCGCCATCTTCGCCTTGCGCATCATGTTTCTGCTTGCCGACACGAACTTGACCAGATCTTCAAAGAACTTCTCCACAAATTCGTCGTAGAAGACAGTCACTTGTGTCTTGCTGCGGTATCTTGACTGGTTGTCTTCACCAGACATGACGGACGCGGTCCGAACGCGCTTCTTCACCTCTGCTCTAGCATACGCTTGCGCCTG